ATATATATATATATATAATCTTTAATCAGGAGATTTTGAAAGATATACACTTGTATACAAATAAGATGTAACTAAAACTAAGAATACAAAATAATGTGAAACACTTATAAAACTGTTTTAAAACTTACTTTGCTCTTTCCTGTTTCAATATATCCTGCATTTGACTAAGGTCGTCTTTAAGGCTTCCTAGTTTCTCTACATAAAGCTTTTCCGTTTCATCAAAATTCACTGCTAGCTTGTCTTTGTTTTCAATTGTCTCTGCTAATTTGTTTTTGGTTAATTCAAGTTCTGTTTTCAGTTTTTCTTTTTCATCCTATTAAAACATCCACAGATTTTAAAATATAGAAAATAAACAGCCACACTTAATTTAGCAATACTTATGTACAATTCCTTAATAAATTTCCTTAATAAACATTGTTCATCTTAATTTCTTTTTATTTTCCCAATGAAAATGACATAAGTTTAAACGAAAATCAACATCACTGTAGATCACCTCAATGCACAACAATTTTTCACTCAGAGCTTTTATCCGTTCTTCTAGGTCCTTTGAATTACCCTGGCATACTTGCAATTTACTCTGAAGGTTTTCTATAGAGAAACAAACAAAAATCATTATCATATAATAATAATAATAATAATAATAATAATTTATTAAGCCAATAAAATACAAATGTATAAAATNAACAAGTTTTTCGAATATCTTCATAGGCACCGGTGTCAAAGCAACAGGACGGAGATCATTTAAATTCTCTACAGTTTTACTTTTTGGCACAGGTATGATGGTTGCTGTCTTCCATATTTCAGGCACTCTGCACATTTCAATTGACCAGTTGAATATTTCCGCGAACACATCTGAAAGCTGGGCTGCGCATTCCTTTAAAAGTCGTGATGTTATACCGTCAGGGCCTGGAGCTTTCCTGGTGTTTAAAGCCGAGAAATAACACTTGACTTGCCATGATTGAATAGTAAATGGCGGCACGCGCTCCCCTAGGGTTGGTGTGTGGACCTGAGTGTGGTTGGTCCTATCAAAACGAGAATAAAACTCATTCAACTTGTTAGGGAGTGTGGAGTCCTCTGTATCAACGGCACGTCTGGACCCTTTATACTGTGTGACCAGAGCGATAAAGCATTACTTATGTTGTATGTTATTTTTTCAGCATAAACAATTGTTTCTTGGGCAATTAGATTGGGGGCGGGGGGTGCATGGATGAAGAAGCCCCCATACCCTCCATATGTGATGCACTCTCAAAGGAGTTAACAATCACGCAGGCTATTGCCTATCCATAGTCTGGTCCTTAAAATGAGATTTCATCCAATATTAGAAATACAAAACTCAATGCAACAGATCTAACAAAATTTTTTAAAGCAATCTTGTTTAATGGTGGTTAGTGCTTAGTAATGGACACTGAAACACTTATTTTAGCATAGACATGAAAGCAACTGTTTTTGACCTGTCTGTAAACATTCAGTCATAATATCAAATTTCATAGCAAGAGAGGCATTCATGTAGCCTATATCATAGACGTTAATAATTTCAAGCATCAAGAATTTTTTTACATATATATCAGATTCTTATGAAAATCAAACAGTTCATTCTGGGTCTTTCACCTATCTACAAAAAAGTTTGAAAGAAAAATATTGCTGGGCGAATTTTTTACCACAAACAAACAAAAGCACCCACAAATGAACAGACCAAAAGACTTGCAAAAATTTTGTAGTAAGTAATAAATGTTCTTGATGTTAAGTTTGCAAATATTTCAAACCAACCAACTGTCTGCTGTAGAACTTCAGCTTCTTTTTGGTTTTCTTTAAGTGCAGCAGAGAGGCTATCCAATTCATCAAGCTTGATTTCCAACTGTTTCTCTACTTCCAGCATCTGAAAAATGAAAACAAGTCATTACTATATTTGGAAGATAATTTAGCATTTAACTTGCAGCCTAATTAATCAGTCATTTATAACTGTGCATTTTTTTGTCATTTCACCTTATGTTTGTTACTGTAAGAGGTGCTATTTACTTTTGTACTCCAATTCCAACAATGAGGCACTTTTATGCTTTTAGATGAAAATCTTTATTTTTTGTGGATACACTTTGTATTAGTGAAGTTTTTTGTCATTCAAACTCTTTTGGTAAAAGTTTTTGACTTGCTAAGCCACTTTCTGCTGGAAAATTTACCAAAAACAAAGCTTGTATTTCAGATTAGAAAAATACATAATAGAATAAAATGAAAATGAATATTAGCTCCTTTAACATATTTGAATTATTAGAACATTAAGACACATCAAACCTCAGTTTTAGACTGGACTAGTTTTTGTCTCTCCTCTTCTAAACATTTAGCTTTTTCCTCTTTTTCTTTTATCACTGAAAACCATGTAAAGGTATGTGAAGTTAAACAATATAAATGGTTTCTATACCTGTAAAATAATCAAAACATTGTCTTTCAGACAAAATATTTATATACAATACAAGAGTGATTTTATGTTAAAAGGATGAGTTATACTAACATTGGTTGGATAATGCATTTTGCTGTTCTGATGATGTAAGTTGTAACTGCTGAAACTTGAAAGACAGTTCCTGGAAAATCAAAATAAGTGTTATTTTAGAATTGAATATGAATATAAACATATCCAGATGCAAGCTTTTTCACAACCACAGCTTAATGGTAAAAATCATCTTATCAGAACTGACCTTATCCTAAACTGACATGTTTTTAGTATAGTTGTAACCTCTTACACCCCATTTCCATAGATTTTTAGATCGATCTATCCCTGTGGGGAGTCTCACTAGATTACTGTCAGCTTGGCCGGCTTAAGCGTCTGTCCCGCCTACTAAAAGCTGTAAGGGTGTAATTAACTATGGTGCCCGTTTGGCTGACTGCAATTTAGCGTGAACCCCCAGGGAGTTAAGTCGATCTAAAACTTATCTTTAGATCGATCTAAATCTCTGGGAAAGCACCCTAAAACATTTCAAAACATTATATATATATATATATATATATATATATATATATATATATATATATATATATATATATCAATTACCTCAAATTTACTGCCATAGTCCTTCTGCAAGTTTGACAATTCTGTTTTTTCTCTTTCACCTAGAATAAAAAAAAGGAAAAATTAATATATGCATACAGACATTCACAAAAAAATTAAAACAAGGCAGCAAAGCTGTCAAATGTACAGACAAAAGGCAGAAAATAATAATGCACAAAATTGGCTGCTGTCAATTCTGATGCAATAATACATTGTGCTTAACTGCAAAGTCAACATCAAATTTTGATTACCCACAATAGGCAATAATGATGTAAATAAAACGTATAACAAGCATAAAGCTTCTTGCCTATGAGAGGTCAAGTTCAAACTTTGAAAAACCAGAATGAGAACAAAGCAGCAAAGCTCTTAAATGTACAGACAAAAAGCAGAGAATAATAATGCACAAAATGCCCAAAATAGTTTTCTTCAATTTTGATGCAGTATTATATAATGCTTAACAGCATAATGACCACCAATCTTCAATTATGCACTGCAGGTAACATGGATATTTAGAAAATGTGACTAGCAAAGGTCTTTAGGCCCATAGAACTTCAAAGTCACACCTTGAAAACACCAAAATGTAAACAAGAGATAAATGTTCTGAAATGAGTTTCCATTTGCAACACTTTTTTTTTAATACAAAAAACAACATAATCAACTTACTGTCATTTTTATATGATCAACTAAGAAAATTATTCAGATGGGAATAAATATCAAATTTTAAATGTCCATTCAATTTGCTCCATTCTGAGCTTCTGAACATAGTGAATGGTTGAATCTGACAAACTGCAATGATATGAGTTTATTTCCATTTTTTACACTTTACTACACAATACACGATAACAGGTTTACCATCATTTTTATATGATCAAATAACAATATTGCAAAGATGCAGAAAAAAGGCATTACTTTATCAAAACTGAACTGATCAAGGTTATTTTCAAAGTTGATCTGTATATTAGTCCTATGAATCAGTCCTATAAGTTTTAGGCAAAATATGACACGGTTTTCGTGTTTTCTGTATAATGGTGGATATAATATGCATCTGTGTTGGTATACAAAAAGGTCCAATAAAGCTGCCATTAATAACTTCAGTAAGTTTGACAATAATAAGTCACACAGATATCAATTTATTGTGTTAACAGCACAGTGACACTGACGATGACACTGATAGATACAGGTGATGGCTATATGACTTATGAAAACTAATATGACATATGAACACACCAAAATTTTACATAGATTTTATTGAACTAAATCAATACTTACATTGAAGCAATTTTTCATCCAAACGGGAAATATGGCTTTTTAGCAGTGCACATAGTTCTCTTGTTGCTTCAACTCTTTTTAAAATGAAAAATGTTTTCAAGTTACAAAAAATAAAGCTTAAACATAAAGAGAAACACTGAAATAGATGGTTTAGTATATTGTCAATTCTATCTTAGCATCAGATTATGATTAAGTTAGCAGAGATGCAGGTAAAACGGTCATCAAGTAAAGGCATTCTATGGATCTATTGAATGAACTTTCTATCAGTATGACTATCTTTCTAAGTTCCAATAAAAGATTTTGGTCTTTTTCTTATCAATAAAAAGATAAAAAATGAAATAAAAAACTTATTCTGTAAGCTAAATTGATTTATGTCTCTGTTATACAGTGAGCATTTTTCACAAAATGTTTCAAATTCATTATAACCACAACAACAAATAAAAAGAAACATTAAACAAACAATTTAATTTTACTTTTTTGCAATTTCTTCCTGGTTTTCCAGTTCCTCCTGAAGTTTCCGACTAAGCTCTTCATTTTGCAACTGCAAAAAGATCTCACAGTAATGAAAATATAAAGATGTGAAAATTACCATTTACTAGTACTGATAAAACCTACTATGAAATACATCATTGAAAGAAATTTACTTAGATTACATGCCATCCTATTTTCACACCAACTTAATGTAAACTGAAATATTATTGAAAAGCATCCATATTATACTACCTGAAGATCAAGTGATAAAGACCTAAGGGACTCTATAGTCTGCTTTCCTTCTTGAATTAGATGTTCCTAAAACAAATAAACAAACAAAAAACATGTACCACAACTTAAGGGGACTGAACAAATTACAAAGATAACATAAAGCCTATCCAACTACCAGACACAGCACCAAAAGATCCAGAATTTACTGGTAGATGGGATCGCGCTACCAGTTTTCAAGGTGTGTATCAGTATGCATTTCACAATATCATACCCGAACAAATTTTGCAAGATGACTTGTTTAACCCCTTACAGGATGTGCTTCTGCTGGCAGAATTAGACCTAGTATACTAAATTAATATTAAAAGACTGCACCTAGTTATTTACGTAACATCACTGGCTATGTTCAAACCTTAACTTTATGTTAAAAAATCACAGTATTGTTCCAGTTATTATATAAACTGTGGAAAATAGCAGTAGCACATGAATTTTGATGAGACGCACTAATCTCCAACCCTGTGTACCAAGAGGGTGCCGTGTCTGATACCTCAAAGTGCGTACTGATACACATCTTGAAAACCAGTGGATTAGTTGGCTTGGCCTGGTTTCACAAAAAAAAAAAAAAAAAAAAAAAAAAACTGAAGTCAGGTTCCCTGTTACATGATCACATGGCACATCTTATCAGGAGCAGTGTAACAGCACTCTCATGGAAATCCTAGTAAACTAAGCCAGGGAACTGATTTTGGGGTAAAGTTTTTTTGTGAAACCAGGGTCTGATCTGCGTTGAATTCTGGATCATTTGGTACAGTGTCTGGTAGTTGGGTAGGCCTGAATATGAAGCGTTATTAAGGAACAGGAGCACTTTATTGGCACAGCTAGAACAACAGCTTACAACAATTTCAATTGCATTTTCAGTACTTTTTTCTTACTGTCAAAAGCTAACTTTACACCATTCATTCTTTGAAAAATAGGAATTAAAATGCATTTCCTACTTAATACATTTTGTAAATATACTTGAATTTTATTGTTTTTTAAATTTATGAGATTTTAGGATATTGTCACCCTTCGCCAAAAACTCCTAATTTGCTGCCTTAAATACATTCTTTTGGGTAAAAGATCAATCTTCAGTGTTCAATGACTAAACTAGAAAAGCACTCAGAGAGCACAGACCTCCGCCAAGGCAGCAAAGTCTCCATCAAATGCCGTTTCACCCCTAAATTTTCATTCTGTAATGATTTAGTTTTTTTTTTCTTTTTGATTGATTATTGATCCAGATCACCACCAAAAACTAATCATCTGTCCCTTGGCCCACTTCTGAGAGTTCCTGAAAATTTCATCAAAATCGGTCCATAACTTAGTTTTTTGATTATTGATTATTGGTTGATTATTGATCCAGATCACCACCAAAAACTAATCACTTCTAAGTTAACCCATTTCTGACCTACCTGAAAATTCCAACGAAATTCATCCATATCTTTTTGAGTTATGTTGATGACAAACAGACAGACAAACAGGGGTGAAAACATAACCTCCTTGGCAGAGGTAATTAATTAACATTTACTAGTACACATCATCTTACGGTGACATCATAACTGCGATTTTGGGGTAAAGTTTCTCCTTTACCGGAGCAATTAGGATCACCATTTCCATGCTGATTTAATGACACCATTTAGTACTCTAAAACCTTGCCAGCAATTTTTCTTAAGAGTCTTAATTCAAATTTTATCGTTGATAAAGCAAAGTAATGCCTTTGTTTAATGAAAATCTGTAATAAGGGGCTCATAACTCCATAACAAAAACATTTAAACCAAAATGACGACAGGGGATTGTAGCCTATACACTCTTAGTCAACTCTGCCCATTATCGTAATAAAGTCTTGATCAGGGATGAAGTTATGCCCCATACAAATTGCTATATCTCGTTTCCAAATAGACGATCAAAGCCTTTGAAATCTGTGTTTGTCATCGGACCACATGACCTCCATAGATGGCTATACTCTGCAATAATCTCTTAAGAGATTGTTACAAAAAAAAAAAAAAAAAAAAAAACTTTTTAGAAAAAAGCAAGGACTAACTTTGAATGTAAAAATGGATTCATTTACCATTGGTAAGTATAGGGAAATTGTTGTTAACCCAGGAAAATTAATTTTTTGGCCAAAATAGACAGTTGTTATCCTTTTAATTAACATTTACACAAAGGTAATCTTACAGGTGATTCATAATTGTGTTTTGGGGGTAAAAACAGAAAAGTCGGTTTCTTAAATTTTTCCTTAACCTGAGCACCCACAATCGCTGTTTCAATGGTGATTCAATGATACCATTTAGTACTCCAAAACACTAGCAGCAATTTTTCTTAAAGTCTTAGTTCAAGTTTTTCATTGATGAAGCAAAATAATGCCTTTTTTAAATGAAAATCTGTAATTTGGGTCTCATAATGCCACAACAAAAACATTTAAACCAAAATTACAGCAGGGAATTGCAGCCTATACACTCTTAGTCAACTCTGCCCATTATCATTATAAAGTCTTGTTCAGGGATGAAGTTATGCCCCATACCAATTGTTATATCTCATCTCCAAATACGAAGGTGTTAATTGATGATCAAAGCTTTGAGTATATACTTATAAATTGCAATGAAAAAAAAATTGATATTTTATATTTTCAAGGTTTTTTTATTGTTTTGAATCAGCACAAATATAAATGCATTACTGAATAATTAGATGCAGGAAAAGCCTCATTTTTGGTATCCTTATGTTTCAAACATGGCCAATCCTAGTCATAAAACTACTCAATCAAACCACTTGCTTTTTTTATACAGAAAAGTGGTCACTTGTCTCTGAAAAGGCAAAAATTTTATTTCTCTCTGTGAGAGCCTCATCCTACACAATAGGTTGAATTAACTCACTCTTTTGAAAACAATAGTGTTTTTATACACAGTACGCTTGAAAATTCCAAATTTAGAAATACGCAAATGTTAGTGAATGCTAGTATAACAACAGAAAACCAACCTTTTTCTTTATCTCAATATCATTCTTAACTTCCCATTCTCTAAGCTGTTCAGCTGTCTGTTTCAGTCTTGACAAACTTGAAAACTCATCCTGTCGCCACTCATTCCTTTCTTGTTCTATTTCTTAAAATTAATTTCTTCCATCATTTTACATGGTTGCAACATTTAAGTTATACTATCAATATCAATTCATAAGAAATCAATATTAATAAAAGAATTGAAGTTTGCAAGTGCATCCTAAGATGCAATTTAATTTGGTAATGCATTTACATAAAATCTCAGACATGCTGAAACTGTCGGTCCGATCGGTCATGACCGGGAAAATTTGTCTGGACCGGTAGAAAATTGGACTTGGTCGGTCCAAAGGACCGACCAAGTTTTAGAGCAGCAATTTTGAATTTGCAGTCATCATTCGACATACTTCACTAATAAAATTATATAAAACCCAAAGCGTTTTTTTCCCTTCCATTTCAAACCTATCACATTCACAAACAAAGGAAGCTACCCTAATCGTACTGGTAGTATCTGTCTCAAATGAATAGGGTGATTTTCGGTCCGACAAAAATACGTTCGGTTCGGCAAATTTTTCATTACTTCCGGTCCAAATGTCCGGCCATTCTGAAAAATTTTCAGCATGTCTGAAATCTAAAAGGCCAATTAAAATTCAGAATAATTTTCTCCTTTTTAGAAATAACTCACCTTGCTGATTAAAAAACTGTGCATTCGAATTCACCTGAAAAACAGTGAATTTTCTTGGAAAAATACAGATAAAAATGCATAAAGATGTGATGAATGCATATATCAAACCATTTATAAAAAACTTTGAGATAATTCATTAAGTAATTTTCTATTTGGCCTTTTAAGACTATTATCTTTACCTGAGAATTATTAATATTGTTCAGGTTGAAGAACCCACAGTTTTCTTGACTAGTCATGTGAAGGGGTTTGAAAAAAGGTTGTCTGGACTCCTGGATCTGGCCTTTCTGCATCACTTTGTTTCTTTTGTAACTAGGTCTTTTTGGCTGCCAAAAACAAATTGTGGATACTCTAGATAATGCGTACAAAAAAACTCCCAAGCATAGGAAGAGTGAAGGTCATTTCTAGGGTCCACATAAACAATCGGGGCCGTAGCAATAGTCCGAAGGTTCAATAGTCCGAAGGTTCATTGGTCCGAATATTCATTATAGAACCTTCGGGCCAATGAACCCTTGATTAAAAAATCGATGAAAATGTTACCACTTTTCAGACCAATGAACCTTCGGACCAATGAACCTTCGGACTATCGGACTGTCCAGTAGGCTTATTGCAACCCTAATTACCCCCGAATAGGAGAGGCATTGAATCAAGTAGATTAACCAAATTTAGACAATATCTTACATGTACGAGCCCTTAAATTTCAGCTTTGCCTTTGGGGCGTAATCGTCAATACACATCCATCCCGTTGGCTGACAGAAAAAATTAATTATTTTGTTTTGGAACATACCTGTGTATTTTTACATCTCAGCACGGGGTCTTAGTGGAGAAATTAGCCCTCACACGAAATCAAATTTGCTTAACAATACACAGTAGATCCACGAACTAAAATATCGTCATGCTAAAAAAAAGATCTTGATGATACTAAATAATAAATCCCACGGCGCATTTCTGCGGTTTAAAAAACAGCTGATAAATGTTAACATTCAAATCAATGTCTTAAAATTGTATTCATCCTGTTGGTCCAACGCCCAATCTACGCAGCGAGTGAAATAAAACCTGTATTAATAGTCTACACAAATAAAAGAAACTAAATAATGAGAAATCTTTTCACTGCTTAGCAAATGACAGCAAAGGGTCCGCGTGCGACGGAATCGTCTGCAACATTCAAAGGTCAAGGTCACGCTAATTTTGTTGCGTGGTTTTGTGCAACTTTATTATTAAAAAAAATATTTTGACATTTAATAAAGTCTAGGTAACAAAAATCTGTGACCTCGAGTTTTTGTCCAGACATGTAGATCGAGGTTAAGTAAATGTGTCAGGTGAGACTGAAACCGCGATGTTTTGATGACCGACTTGATTGCGTTAGTCGTGAGAGATCTCATATCCGGGGTCCGCCATATAGATAAACGTCCCAATAAAATATTCGTCCCGATAGATACGTCTCTATACATACACGTCTCAATAGATTTACGTCTCGTTAAATTTACGTTCCGATAGATCCACCAACAGATTCCTATAAACCCACGTATCTTTAGATCCAGGTACCGCTAGATCCATCTATCTGACATCGTAATCGGCTAAAAGGCCGATATCAACTTGTGATACAGGTATGAGGCTTTCGAGTGATAGTCTGGCTGCGAATACTGATCCACTTAGTGATCTGATTTAATTACAACCTGATATTTATTATTTATTCATTTATTTATGTATTTATATATTTATTAGGTGTTCAAACAAGACATACATGTACGTTCGCGTCTACCCGTCTATCACACTCTAAAGTTCGGGAACGCGTCGTAAACATAAAACAGAACACATTTTAAGTGTGCAAATGTTACATTTTGAGAACGCGTTTCGCAAGCCAGTGTTCTGGCGCCAGAACACTGAGCGTTGTGAAATATAGAACACATTTTTATGTTCTTTTTTTGTTTGTTTTGTTTAGAACACATTTACATGTAAATTCAGAACACTTTTTACGTGTTCGAATGTTACATTTTGAGAACGCTTTAAACAGTGTTCTGACGCTAGAACAGTAAGCGTTGTGAAATATAGAACACATTTTTGTGTGAAAACGATCTAGTAGAATAATATATTGCTGAAAGGATTAATATGTGTACTGTCGTTTTAAAGAAGTGCATTTTATGTACTGAGTAGTATATCAACCATTTTGAGCAAAAGCATACCTGTAATGGATCTATCGGTATTTGGATCTCAAAATACGTGGATCTATAGGTATGTGGATTTAAAGGACGTGGGTTTATGAGGACGTCGTATCTATAGGAACGCAAATATATAGGACAGCAATAAAAAATCGGATCTATCGGTATTTAAATCTAAAAAGACGTTTTTTCAGTTTTTCCTTTATGTATCTATCGGTAACGGGAGTATAGGGACGTGTCACATTTTGGGACTAAATTTTATCCGTACGTACCCTCATTTTCCGCAGATCACAGAATAGTAGTAATCGAATCATTGCATATATATATATATATATATATATATATATATATATATTGCTAGTCCAATACGCAAATAGTGTTTTCTGTCAATATTCAAGGCTATTGTAACTCGATCTTTACTATCATCCAGATACCGAAAATGATTTTTTCCAGCATCTAATTATTCTTATTATTACAATTATGGGCAGAGTTGACTAAGAGTGTATAGGCTACAATTCCCTGTCGTTATTTTGGTTTAAATGATTTTGTTATGGCATTACGAGCCCCAAATTACAGATTTTCATTAAAAAAGGAATTATTTTGCTTTATACTGCAGAGTATAGCCATCTATAGAGGTCATGTGGTCTGATGACAAACAGACTTCAGAATAATAATTGTAACTGCCCCTTTTTGTGGTAAAATAGAATATTTTATGTTTGTACATGTTGTTTACAATGTATTTATCATGAATCCTAGATCTTGTAAGAAGAGTTGTTATCCCTTTAATTTAGACACTGAACACCGGAGATTTATCTTTTACCCAGAAAAAATGTATGTAAGACAGTAAATAAGGAGTTTTGGGCAAAGGGTGACAATATCCTCAAGTGATAAATCTAGTAGAAAATTTCCAATCACTAGATTTAGCTGGCTTTATTTTGGGACTTCTTTTCAAACTTTCAATAATCCTACATCTTGAAAACAGATTTATGTGCATCATTTTCAAAACTCTCATTTAAATCACAGAAACAACCATTCTCTTTTTAAAAATCGAAAATTTATTTCATTCCTGTACAAAATTTATTTATGAAATAAAACAGTTATACCAATACTAGGTGAATGCATGCTAAATTTACAACTGAAGTGATAAATATGCTGACATCAGCAATGAACCCTCATTTCCTCAAATGGACGCCTCCAAAAATGATGCACGCTCCTATTCAATTAAATTTGTGTGAAATGCTGAACTTCTTAAAAAAAATTCAGTCACTTTTTGTCAAAAATGTCATTCTCCTTTTAAATGCACAACAAAAATTAAACGCCTTAATAAGACCAGACTTGACAGCTCAACATATTTTTTAACAATGCTTGCTTTGTCATGTTGTATAAATGTGTATATATGAGTTCAAGCCTGGTTTTCCATTTTTTTTAAAGAAAATTGATCAGCATTGACAATATTCCTTTATGATATATTCTGACATGGCTCTTTGGAATTAGTAAGATGAATTGTTTTTCTCCTGAATTACAGTATTATGGACAGGCGCATTCTTGCTTTACAATCCCGTGTAAGATTTTCCACAATACTGGATGATGATTTAAGTTTTCCTCATTGGTATAATATCCTATATTCCTGAAATAAATGAAATAAAACAAAACTGTAATAACAATCTTAAAACAGATTTCTTAAAGTATTACTGCCACTGGTATCCTTATTTATGAGATTAAAATTACATTTTTCATTAAATCAACTAGTATTTTTGCTTTACCCAATGGGGAGTGGTTACTGTAATTCTGTAAATGAATTCGACAGGAAAAAAAGTACAGTGGCCTTTTTTTTACATCTATAGTCTGATACCTTACAAACTGAAACTGCATGCTTTTAAAGCCATTTGTCAGGCTGATGTCTCCACACATAATGTTACAGCTGCACCATTTATCTTCCCCCTGTCAACAGGAATACCCAGGTATAAAAAGGAAATCGGTTCGCCTAACTTCTACAACAAGTAAGAAACACAAAGAAAAACTGTGGCAAATGTATGCCATCTTTCAACTGTCTGATCATCAGTGGAAATTTAGTCATGCAAAAAAATACATTTCAACCAAACCTATAAAACTTATTTAGTGATTTTTTTCTTTTCTCTTATTTAACCTTTTGGTAATGAGCCCTCATTAAAGGCAGTGCCTGAACCATCTCATGTAGAACAACCATAATTCACAGACTGACAATTTTGTTTCAATGGGTTTTTTGAAAGAAATATTTCAAGAGCATGTCCAGGAAATAGTTCCCAACTTCACCCTTGACGAGTACATTCAAGGATATATTTAGGGTCTTATTACACTTTAATGCACTACAGTAACAAACAAAAAATGCATGTATCTTGTAACACTAACGAACATTTCATATAATTAAGTAACTACTGTAACAAAATGAGTCCTACAACTTGTAGACAGCATACATGAATTGAAAGCTCAACAGGACCTCCAACTATACAAACATTGCATATGTGGTATAGAATTAAAGGCATTTAGTATAGTTAAGGCAAAAGCATGGGGGGGGGGGTCAGGGAGTTCAAAAGAACCGCCCTTAAGGCTGGAAATAAGTACAAGTTCTATGCCAATTAAAATTTCTATTAATTGCATGAAAAAAATCCAATGAACCAACAAGTCTGAATATTGGTGTAATAAATGCAGACAGAAAAAACAATTCCATGAAACAACACCCACAATGCCTTACTAGAAGCAGGGATGAGACCAGTCCTTACTGAAAAAGTAGGAAAACTGGCCAGGGGTCCAGGGTACACGATTCACAAGAATGGCCCAAATAAAAAGTTGGAATTCTGACAAAAGTTGGAAAAGTCTCATCAGTGTAGAAGGGATGCTGGTTCTCAGACCTGAATGCCTGGCCATGCACTTGCTGTCATATACTTACTGTACGACAGGAGATGAAAAAAATCTTGATTCTTTATTACCACTTTTATCACCTTCACTCTTTCACCAATATAAATACTTAATGTCCCAAGGAAGTGCTTTTTATGTGGTTTGGGACTGGAAATGAGTGAGTAAACTTCTGTTCTTATACTTTCCCTACAGCTATTTGTGATACACATTCTTTTTATACTTCATAAAATATAACACTGCAGCCAGAACAAGTGCACCCAGAACAAGTGCAC